CGCTACACTCATGTCTACTACATAATTCTTCCCATTTCTCAGTTTTAACTGTTTATATTGTTGAAACGAAACGGTCAATAATTTTGATTTTTTTTCCAGTTATTCGTTCTATTTTACTTTATAACATATTTGTTTCTCATACGAATCTCACTCATCGTTAAGCTTTAAAAAAATAAAATGTGCCACCATTTGCGTTTGCAAATACAAATATTAATATTTTAAAACATAATAATATGTGTAAATAATATTTCACATGTAATAATATCACAACGAATTATATTGTTACATGTAATAATATTTTTAACGTGTTTTACACGTAATATTTCGTGTAACATAGTAAACTTTAACAATATTTTTTAGAACTTTGAGACGGTCAATTTTAATTTAATTAGTCTCATTTTGCACGTATTTATGTAAAGAATAAACTGTAAAAATTTGAAACAATTCTCACATAACTGATTTTACAAAAGAACTATCTTAAGGGAAAATAAACAAACTTATGATAATTCAACGTTTATTTTTTGTTATTTATTTATTTATATAAATGAATGTATAATTTCAAATCTGCTACTCTTTGCCCAAGCTAGTTTTGTGGATGTTTCTTGTTACAGATTAATAACATTGTTATAATTGTATATACGTACAAATTATAATCACAATATTTATATTTGTGTAATCACTGATACAGAGGGATATGTTCATGATCTCACGTTTTATTAATATTAAATAACAAATAATGAATTGAATTGATTGAATTAAATCAATAAACCCTGGCTGAGGTAATATTTTTTGCAATAAATTAAAAAATTTAAATTATTTTGACATTTAACATACTGTCTTGGCTCTTATCCCTTTAGTCCTTCAAATCTGTGATTAAACAATAAAGTTGTCCAGTTTGATTGTGTCTCGTGGTAATTATTAAGACCTGAACGTTCGTGCAATTTCTCGGTGAGCACGCGGAGCACCACTGCGTGCGAGTGAGTCGAATGCTCGATGAAGTGAGATAGCAGCATTTCTCAAGGAGACCCGACACTCGCTGAATGACGATCGAAATGTTGCTATCTCACTTCAGCGAGCATTCGACTCACTCACACGTAATGGTGCTCCGCGCACGCACCAAGAAACCACGCGAACGTCCGGACTAGTAATTATATTAATAAAAAGAAATAATCTAAACGACATATAACTTTTTCAAAATATTTATTCTCCAATTCGAGTAAGAAAACAAAAAAGAAATACGAGGCCATTAATCAAAGAGAAGTCAAAAGAAGGAAAAAAGACACAATCTTACATAATTTAAAAGACTAAAAAAATTATAAGAAAAGATTAATATTAACAATGTATAATTTTAAAAGTTTATTGCCACAAGAAAGATTGAGTTGAACAATATATTGAATGATTATAAGGAAATTCGAGGGTTTTAACGAACGTATCACATACGTAACACAAATAAACTTACTTTTCTGAATTATTACATTTATGGGATTTATGTACCAAGGCCTCCAATGCTTCCTCGCTGCTATTGGATAACTGCGACATACCAGAAAGACTGGTAGAGGACATGAGCTCTTTCGAACGCTTCCCTTCCAATCTCCCTGTTACATTAGTATACTTTCTTTGGGACATCATGCTTTATCTGAAAAAGAACAGAAGACCGTATGTAAAATTGTTGTACTATGTGAGCGAATAAATGCCATATGACATGAAATGGGTATTGATGTATATACACTACCGGTCAGAAGTTGGAAACCATTTATTTAAAATGTCTACTATATGAAATAAAATATAATGTCTACTTAAATTACGAAATTTTAAATTACGAAAATTCTTTAATTACGAAAAAATATTAAATAAAACATGAATCAAATTTTTAAGTATTATAGTACTTCAGTAAAATATTTTTAAATTTTCTACATGGTCTCAAAATTTTAGCCGGCAGTGTAATTAATGTAACACTAGTAATGCATATACCTGTATGATATGTATGTATACAGGATGTCCTATTTTAATTGACCACCCCAAAATTTTTTATTTGTAATTTTAGAAAAAAATATTTCAAACAAAAGTTATTTGGTTCGAAGGGGGACATAAGAGGGTGATAATGATTTGATAGTCGTTTGTAGAATACGTGAAGGTCACCTTTAATTTCTTAAATTTCTGGATGTAGATTACGTGAAGGTCACCTTTAATTTCTTAAATTTCTGGAACCCTGTATTTTTCATTGCATATTCTTGTAGCTTACGAGAGCCAAAACACTTTTCAAAACACTATAATAAAATATTTTTTCATTAAGTATTTTTCGTGTTATAAGGTTTGAAGTTAAACGGTACTGCTTGTACCGTTTAAGCATTTTCTGCTGAAATCACAAATAAAAAAGTTTTTGGGGTGGTCAATTTAAAAAAATGGGACACTGTATAATAACAATTAATTATCAAAATATTGTATTAACATTATTAAAATTATTATTAAACATTAAGTATTCAGACAGGCAAGCCTATTGAAAAGAAATATCGAAAAAATCTGTTTCCAAATTTTGTCGACAGAAAAATTATAGATTTGACATGTGTTACATGATGTTAAAATACTAACAGAAATATAACAAAGTTTAACAACATGCTTAGATTGGCAGCAGAAATTAAACAGAATTTGCTCACGTAACTCGACGACAAATTGACATCAAAAACCGAGCAGAGTCTACTGACATAAGGCTTGTTTTTATTGCTGCACTGTGAACTAGTGCAGTAAGCTAGAATGAGAAAAATTATACTTGTCCTACTCTAATTTATTG